GGGGGGGGGGGGGGGAGGGAAGGTTTTGTTTAATCAGATCCTGAGCCCATTCGTTTTAGGGTTTTTTAAAGGGAGGAAGGGGAAAGTTTGTGGATTTATATCTATTTCTTTTATATGATGGAAAATGCACAGCTAGTTGACCCACTAACATGAGCACCATCTCTGTCTTTTGATTCACCGTAGGCTTTGCACTTGTTGGTGAGAAGTGAGAAGGCTCCTGTCATAACTGTGTGGTCCAGTTTTAGAACTCTTTTACGTTTTAGTGTCAGGATTGTTAAGGTTTTAGTTGTTTTTTTAAATTTTGATAAAAATGATAATATTGAAACATGGCTTTTGTATAGTGGAAATCTATAAAATGCTCAATGCGCTTCTGAAGACGTTGCTGTGTTATGTTTGTCCCTTAGCACCTGGCTATTTGGTAGCCTTCATTTTCCAGCATTTCCCCTTGTTTGATATTGAGAATGTTGCACGTTGTGTCTTTATATTGTCAGTAGCTTAAGTGTGACTGTCTTCACAGACATTCGTTCAAATTTTCTTTCCGTCTTTTGTTTCTGTCTGTTTTTCTTGCTCTTGCCGAAGGCTTAATGACCATTTTCATGAACATATGCCTCTCTTTGCTCAAATTCAAAACAAATAGCTTCAGTACAGAACCCATTCAGCGTAGATTAATCCAGTGTCAAAAGTCAAGCTCATCTTTCTAATCTATGAATGAACCTATATTTTTACTTAAGCTGTTTACCTAAATGCACATCTTTATTCCCAGGTGGTATGAGCCCCAGTGGCCTGAGTGGCGAGGTGCGCAGCCTGTTTGCTGTTCTAAAGCTGGAGAGTCACGAAGTTCTGCGCAAACAAGCGGACGAGGCGCTGGTGTCGCTCAGTGGGATGGAGGCTCGCATCACTGACCGGCTCCGCACGCTCAAGGCTAAACCTGTCTCTGAGGTGAGGATTTCTAAACCCTTTTCCTCTTGTTCTTGTTCTTGTTTTTGTTCTTCTTGTTCCTGTTCTTCTTTTTCTTCTTCTTCTTCTTCTTCTTTTTCTTCTTCTTCTTCTTCTTCTCTTTCTTTTTTCTTTCTCTTCTTCCTTCCCAGTCCTTTGATCTTAAGTACCATAGCCCGATCACTCAAGAATCCCACTTAATTAAAGTCTGCAATTTTTCTGCCAGCATTTCATAAAGTGCAATTTTTTGTTTTCTTTTCACATTTGCAGAAGACTGGAGCACAGTGGCACCTCTCAGTTAATGTATATTTAATAAATGGAGGATGAGAAAGAGAGACATAGTTTGTCCATGAACATCTACTTTGTGTTTCATTTGTTACAAGTGTATACACCTGGGACTTTCATTGTCAGTGCCGGCATCTGAAAGAAAGTTACCTTTGTTGATAAAAGTTCATAGTGCCTCACACAACTTCCGTTATTGTCTGGTTGACCATTTTTCTTATTGTTCCTCTCTGCAGAGACTATGGGTAAAACTGGCATGAGTCTTGAATGATTTTTTATTATATTTTTTAATTTTTTTTTTTAGTTTTCTCCCAGTATCTGTGCTGCATGCACAAACACACTCACTCTCTGCATGGGTCCATACCGGACTTGGAATGCTTGAGTGTGAAGAACCTGGATGATGTGCCACTTTTGTTCAGCCTTTGGTCACTTTATTCTTCAGGTTTTACACTTTGTCTACTTTTTAAAATTCCACCTTCCCTTCCCTCCCCTTCTCAGCCCCCCCCCCCTTTGTTTTCACTTGTTTAAAGATTTTGTTGGTACTTGTTACATTTTTTTGGTGTGGAATCTTCCTCCAACAAGTTAAAAACTTGCTTGTCTTTGAAAAGTCAAATCCTCAGTGTTTGTCATCTGTCAAGGAAGAGTTTATCCTCATGTGTGTTGCAAGTTTTATCAGCGCCTTGGTGCTTTTTTATCCTTTTTTACTTGCTTCAAATATCTGATATGCTATTTTTTTCCCACCTGTTGTTAAATTTATTTTTTTAAAATCCATTTTTGTCAATTCCCTGGATCAATCTGCTTCCTGGCATGCATGATCCACCAATTTCTCCAACTTTGCACGACTCTCCTTGTTTCATAAGTTGTGCTTGCTTCCTTAGTTCACAAAAAAAGATTTTATGAAAGAATGTTTAATGTCTTCGGGGGATTTTTAAAAAAAAGGTAATTTTACAGGTTTCTAAGCTTCAATTTTTGTCTTTGCATGATTTATGACTTTCATCAATCTGCTCGCCTGCTGGCATGAAAAATACCTCTGTCTTGTGACAGTTTTTTAAAATGTTGCTTTTAAATGCTTTTTTTCTTTCTTTTTTGACTTCCTTTTCTTTAAAGCTAAGAGTATTAATTTTTCTCCTTTTGGATACAGTAAAGGAAGCAGCTTTATTGTGATAGTATGTGCTATCTATTTGGTTATATTGCGGTCCTTTTTGCTGTATGTAAGAGTAAATGGAGTGTATAGTGTGCCTCCTTGAGATACCACTTTTTTAGAGGTGATAATTTTGGCCTTTTTAAAACGCGATATTCAGGTATAAAAACGCAATGGGATTTGCTCTGGAAAATTGAAGCAATGTTCAGACAGATGCAAAGCGTTTCTAACATTATTTGTATTGAATTGTGAGCTACTCTGGAGTCGGGAAGGGGTCACCTTTGGTACAAAAGTCAGGGAATGTGTAAATGCATGTTGTTAAAGCTTCGCACATTTCGTGCTGTGTTTTTTCATTAGATGTGCTTGGAGCATCTTTCATTAGTCGTGCATTGTCTTTATGAAAATTCGTCAAAACAGCTTAAAAATAACTGACGAATCTGACAAGCATTTATTTCCATAGATAGGTAATGGCTGTGTTATAAATGGCAATTGCAAATAAGTTGTCATTGAAATGCATCTTGTATCTTTATAATTTGTGAGATTTTCTGGAAGCAGATCTCTGATCTACTTTCAAACATTCTTTTTATTTTGCAGAATAGAGATAAATATATGGGTTGTATTGAAATTGTATGTTAATTTTTTGTTGTACACAAGTCACATTTTATCTGGCTGTGTGGCATACTGTGAACGTTAGCTTATTTTGATGAAACTTCAAAATAAATTTTTACTGGCATTTACTTTCAGATAATCCAAGATGACTTTTTCGTGAAAATGGATTTTTATGTCGCGTAATTTTTGCGAGTTAATGTCACTGTACGAAAATCAGATGTGGGAGAAAGAATAGGAAAGGCCAACTTATTTGTCTTTTTCTGCTGCTAAGTAGTGAACTCTCTCAGAGGCTCTGCTCCTTCTGTTTCATTCCTAGTACAGTTGAACCAACTCTAACGACCACCGGTTCAAGACTATAGCCCATACAAGTCACCACTTCCCACTGCTCCTTTGCATCTTTTTTGTTTATTATAATGACACTATTCAAGACGACCATTTGTTTAAGAATTGTGTTTTTCTTTTACTGTTATTACCTTTCAAAAAGCAGGTGGTTGGAGGGCGCCATTGGTAGGTCTTACTTTTTTACTTTCCCTCTGTTGATTCTGTCTTTCTCTTACGGGGGGGGGGGAGGCTGTGCTACTAACTGAAGTGTCTATATGCCATTCCCAAAGGGGGGACATGTTGTTGCACAGTAGAATTGTAAATGGGGTGATTCATCAATGTCATGCTCATAACTGTGCCGGAATTGCAACAGTGAACTGCTGCTTTTTCTTTCCTCATCCTTACTATCGTCATTTTCCTCTACTTCTTTTGTATGTTTGTCACTGTCTTGTGACCCGCTATTTCCGGGGTGCCTTGATAGCCGAAGTAGACTTTGTGCCATTGAAGCTAGAGAGGTGAGCAGAGTAAGCCCGATTCCCTGTAAAGACTTCTCCTGTTGACATCCACCCCTTGGCGCTCATATGACCTTATGCAGTTGCGGGCGCCGTAAAACCTCTACTAAAACAAACAAAGACAATTTGCTCAAAAGTTGTCCCTGTCTGAAATGAATTTTGCGAATGGCTTGTACACTGCACGCGACCATTTCATTGCTCTCCTCTCCTCGTCAGAGTGTGGAATACAGTACTCTGCGGGAAGTGTCGTTGTCTTGCAGCAACCTGCGCGTGTGTCTGCAGGAAGTGTCTCGCCTCGTCTCCACCGCCTGGATCACAGAGTTGCCCCCCGTTGACTCGAGAGGGCACTTCTATGACCCAGTTCTCGCTGAACAGGTTTGTATCTTTTCGCTTTTTATTTTAATGTGAGTCTTAAAATATTTATAGTTGTTAATGTGGGTGGTCAGAGGTATCTCTGCTAGATTCTTCTTTGTTAATTGAGCACTCAGTAGGAATACAAATTATTGTTTTTGTTATTATTATTATTGTTATTGTTTTCTTTATGGTGTTGTTGTTTCTATTTTTATTATTATAATCATCATCATCATCATTACTATTATGATTATTATTATTTTATTATGACAGTTAGCTATTATCATTCTTAATATTAGCATATAATAATATTATTCTTATCATTTTCATAATTATTATTGTTATGCTCTTTAGTATTTTATATCATTTGTGGTAGTATTTTCATCATCATCATCCTCATTATCATTATTATTATTATTAATACGGCACTTTCATTGTTCTGTTTTCCCCTCATGGGCTTGACTACATTTGCAGAAGGAGAACCTGCAGCATGAGCTGACACGGCTGAGGTCTCGCAACGACATGCTGGACCACACGGTGAAGGAACAGCAGGGCCGGCTCAAGGCTCAGAACGACAGACAGAAGCACTGGGAGGCCTCGCTGTACCGACAGTGTAAGTGCCTCTTGTCCAGTCCATGTCTGTGTGTCGTTTTCTTTGTCTTTGTTATCCACAGTTTAAGGGAGACGGTCTATTTTGTTTATCTCGTCTCGGCTGATGATATGAGGAACGGAAAGTTTCAGAAATTTTGCCGTTTTTGTTTCTTGCTCTGCTGACGATTGTAGGGATTCAATCTGTTCTGTTGATTTGTCGGATTGTAGGGATTCAATCTATTCTGTTGATTTGTCGTTTTCTTCTTTCGTCTCTACTGTTGAATTGAGGGAGACTTCTTCTACTTCTCTGTCATGTTCCTGTCAATGTAAGGTAGGCAATATATTCCCCTTCATTTTTATTTCTCTCCATGGATATTGTGAGGTAGACTATCTGCTCCACTTGCCTGTCATTTTCTTGTCCCTCACAAAGTTGTTGGTTGGTTTCCTGAGCAGGTCTCACTTCTGAAATATCTTTCTGTAACCTGTCAGGTCTCACTTCTGAAATATCTTTCTGTAACCTGTCAGTCTGCCTGGACTATTCCACATGACCACCTGCTTTGGGAGCAATGTGCTTCTCCTCATCAGACACTTCTTTTCCCAACTGTGTTATTCAGAAGTATTCAGCCTTCAAATATTAATAAGGAATATTGTGCATAATGTCGGTAATGTTATGCTCTTACCACGTAACTGGTTTATTGAAATTTTTACAAGGAAATTGAAAAAGGAAGAAAGAAAACCACGTTTGTTTAAATAATGAGTAGACACAGAAGTTAACCCACAATACTTTTATACCATAAATAGTGCATACTGACTTCTGACTTTTATCAATGACCTACACGGTCAGTCTCAGGAATGTTTTTTTGGTTTTTTTTTAAGAACGAAAAGAGAGCTGAACTATCTGTTCAAGTCATGTGCTAAGAGCATGGTACCACGGGTATATTGACCGATGTCTTTTAAGACCTGATGTTTACTCCTCCTTGTCCTCAGGAGGTATGTTGGGTCTCCAGGTTAGCCAGAGCTGGTGTTCTGTTTCATTGTACGTTTTCTTTGATTTTCTGGAGTCGTGTTCATCTCATTCTTGAAATTTTGATGTTTAAACCAGGACACAGACCTTAAAGTACTGTATTTGTCACCCTTTGAAACACACTTTTTATGCTGTGATTTGACTCTTTGATTCCTATGATATGTCTCTCTGCCGTATGGTACAAGAAATAAAAAATTTCCATTTAGAACCACTCCAAAAAATAATTGATCTGATCAATCATGTATATATTCAGTGGTACTTGCTCTAATGACCACTTGTCCAAGACAGTTACCTACCCAAACAACCACTTTTACAGTGTGTTTTATCTAATCTATGTTATAATGGCGCTATCCAAGAGGACTGCCTGTTTAAGATGACTTCTTTTCTCCTGAACAATGGGTGATGGTGTTGGATAGGTTTGGCTCTATGAAGAGAGATGTGTTTAATTAAGACTGGGAAGCTAACTGTTAAGCTCTGGCAGTGAATCCTTTTTACTTCATTTTTCCCCCCCAGCATATAGATGAGTGATTGCTCCTAGTAAGGCAGCTCTCCATCTTGCGCACTTTTCAGTGTTTTTTTTTTTTTTGTATTTGAATTTGAGTTTTTCATGTTGGGTAATTTTATACATAGTTAAACCTGTGCTCAAAGCTATTGGAAAGTGGGACGTCTTTAAGATGTTTTCTTTAAAGAGCATTATTTAGACAATTAAGTTTTGTTCTTGTCATTTTTAGAAAAGAAAAGTAGTGATTGTTTCTTTGTGCACTTCATTGGGAGGAGGTTTTTTTCCAATATTTAAAAAAATTGTTTTTTTCATTGTACATTTCTTGAGCTTATTTTGCATGCTGTGTGTGGTAAATTTTCAGATGAGATTTTCGTCAAGCGCATGCACAGTCCGTCCAACATGAAGCTGACACACGTAGTTCAGCATGGGTTGGTTGGGAGTGCTGTGGACAGTAACTGTGTGTGCTCAGCTACACCTACGTGTGTGTAATTAATTCCACTGTACCCGCTTTCTGTACACTTGTTTATTTTATCTCTGTGCTGGTCACTCTCTTTTTTTTCTGTAGCGAAAATTTGACTATTGCAAGCTATCTTATATTTTTTGCTGCTGTTGAAGTGTTTGGTTTATTCATTAGTTTATCTATTTCTTTATATTTCGACTCTCTTTCATGCACATTCTGCTATGATTTTGTTTTGTTTTTATCTGTGATATAGCTTTCGTTTTCTTTGTATCAGTCTTTTTCTCTTTGTTTTCAATAATTTTTTATTTGGCATATATATGTGTGAAATAACAAAAATTATATTCTTCTACTCTGCACCAAGGAATAAAAAAGAATAGCGTGATCAAAATATGCGTACCCCTTCATGGAAAAATGACCATAGTAAGAAAGCTGTAAATTAATCTCAAGCCAGTAAATTAGAAGATCATTGTATTGTCTGAAATAAGGTAATTGCTTCAGTTCCTTTTAAGGAAACCTATAACTTTGTTTTAAGGGAAAAAATATCTATTCACAAATTGTACCCTTTGTTTCCCTCCAATGAGAAAAGCAGTTTGAAATTTCATAGAATTGTCTGCAGGTGAAGTAGTCTTTTTAAAAATCTCAGTTTTTGGGCCTACTTGGGGTGCTTGGAGAGTGCCACTGTCAGGCCCTTTTCCTTTAGATTCCCCTCTATTGTTTCTGTCTGCATGACTTGGGATGCAGATCTGTAATGAGTGACAACACCAAACCTCTCCACCCCCTCAAGCCAAACTTTTTAAAGCACTTCTTTGACTTTGGAAAGCACTTGTTTTTCACAGATATAAAAACAAAGGTCTTATTGACATTTAGTCTGGTGCTGCAATTTTTTTGTCACTACTTTCGGGAAAACTAATTTGGTGATTGGAGCAGTTCTCTAAAGAACCACAGTGTGCTGGTGTGATGTCACCATACATGTTTCCTGAATTAATCTCATGTGATGTTTGAGTTTGTTGGATTAACTTGGTGTTCAGCGACCCACTGATACATCAGTATTCTGACATGTACAAAGCTTTCACCCTTCTCTTATTTTCTGGTATCTTTTGTTTGACTGTGTTGGCAAATTCCCCAGAACATTTTTTTTTCTATCGCAGGTCCTTTTGATTACCAGTCTGGAGGAGGGAGGGATACTACTTAAATCTAAACAGTTTAAAAAAAAAATATGCAGTATTCTTCTGAGGCTCTTTTCTGTAGAACAACTTTAGATTTATATGTATTATAGTAACATTGTTTTGTTCGGACTACATCCGTAAATCTCCTTAACCAGGCCAAGTAAACCCCCCCC